TATATATATATATATATTTGCAAAAATGGGAATATCATATTTAATGTCTTGATGACTGCTATTATACATCTAATTTACACAATAAATTCGTGAAGTTACAAAAAACAAATTAATCTGATGCCGACTATAAAATGTTAATGAAATTAAGCTACGACCAAACATACAAATTAGACTTCGTCGTTCTTGAAATGATTTCGCATAAATGATAATGGGCGATACACGATAATCGAACGACACGTCAATTATCATCGCATTTCGTCGGTTCTGTCGATCAGTCGATCGTAGGTCAGGGCCATCCGCATCGCATGGGGCAACAAAAAAGAAAGAAAAGAAAAAAAAGATCCGATAATGTCTCTTCATAGGACACAATCGCGACAGCCATATTTTGCCAGAGATTCTCTTTTTTCCGTTCGAAACTTGCTCGGCCTGTCACTCACGACCTCGATACCGCCTGGTCGAGCAGAATAAAACGATCTAGAGTTCGTTTACATCGAGGGCTGCTGCGAGATCGTGTGAGACTGCAACTCTTGCAGATGGTTAAAAACATATGATCCAGTCCTTCATCACATATTTAGCATTAGATTATATGATTATCATCTCCCGTTGACATTGAACGCAACGTGCACAGATTGGACAAATAAATAAACATTCAGTAGTAAGGGGTAATAGATGACACAAAAGATTTAAATAAAAATTGAAAATTGAAACATATAAGAGGTGCACACAATAAGCCAAACGCAATTTTAGCGATATTGATTATTTTCATTGTTAATGAAATAATATAAGTTTTACTTTAATAATTTGATTTAAAAGTATTCATAAAATAGTTATATCTTTCTTTTATCGCTTTTCTTAATTTTATTATATATTACTCAAATATTTTAATAGAAATAATAGCCAATGATGTTTGAAACACATGAAATATTTGAGAATGCACATGCATTTATTTGTTGCGGTGCATATTTTTAAGATGAACTCGATTAAAGTATGACTATTATACTGGTAGCTAATTTATATTTTTTATGACGTGACGAACAAAATATAAAGCGGAATAACATGGTGATTTTCAAAATGTGGCGACGAATAATATCGGTTGGACATGAGCACTTATTGAACTCTGAATTAAATATTACATACATTTCTAATTCGTGTTGTAAGCATTTTAAATAATTGTTGAAAATGTAATTTACAGTTTCTACTTTTCCTTTACTATTGCACGACATATAATTACGTACCCAACCAAAATACAGTAAAAATTTTTTGGTTTTATTTATTAATTTTGCCCAGCTGACATGAGTGATAACTTCACATTTATAAAGCAATGCACGATTAAATAGACATTTTCTAAAAAAAAATGCTTGTAACAAGATAATATTTTCGACATCTTACCATTCTCGAAGGAAAAATATAAAATTAAAGTTTTTATTTCTATTCTTCAAGATTTGCAATAAAGTTAAAAAAGGAATTTTAAATGTACTGATTGGTTGAATTGCTGGCATTTCTTTCATCTTAAACTTTGATTAAAAGTATTTGATGTTAATTTTTAAGTTTGATGATAAAGTTTCAGAATAATATAATTTCAATATGAAAAGGGATAAGCTATAATATTCTCGTTCTTTCTTTGACGATAAGACATCGACGTGCAGACAAAATTCGCCTCTTTGTGTGATCAACCAATCAAATATCCCCTCAAAATGCACGGCAACAAGTAACCAAGTGATAGCCTCACCTCGCGCGCCTTCCGTCTGGAGGACAGAGCCGAAATAGGCCACCGGAACTTTGAAACTTCAGCCCTTAGTACTCCACGCGGACGCACGAATGCGAGTTCTTAGTTCCATCTTCCGTGCACGGGTCGGCGCCAATTTCTCCGATCGGCACGCGACGACTGTCACCTGACAGCGCGACGACCGACGGCCATCGTGGATCGTTTCGCGGCATTGGTACATCGATTATTCAACGGTATCAATCAACACTTGACGTCCACGAGGAGTTTAGGAGGAATCCTGCAAACCTTGGTATTACCTTGGAGCGTCCTCAAGCGACTCCACATTTATGCTCGTTGAATACCGTCTCGATCGTTAGTCGCAGAATCGCCGCGTACATTTCAATCGATTCGATCGTTCTAGACCCGTTAATCTGCGTTCAACGATCTTCCACGCGATTGTCCTTGATGATAAGTCGCGGTCGGCTCGATGTTGTCCGATGGAAATGTCAGATTCTGAGAGGTTGATCTTGTCGAATTAAATCACCGGACACTCGACGAGCACGATCTACAGGGACATCTTCGCGCACGATGTCCCTACCGGGCTGACCCAGTCGGTCCGTTTTCACTCGCTGCTCCCTTTCGCACTCGCGCGTCGCATTATGTATTCGCACGTGACACGTCCGGACGAGCGCGATTTAATAAGAATTTGTATTGACAAATCACGTGTGTCTCGAGTGATCGTCGCGACAACATGTATTTTACGAAGCATCGATTCACGATCGATGGTGTCCGAGCCGCGAGCCTCTGTTGACTACTTCCAGTCCAGATGTAGGCTTTCTGCCGCCCGCCGTTCTCGGACACGATCTTTCAAGGTGAATCGCTCGACGAACACGCGGCGAGGATTCAAGTGAGCGCCGGTAAGCGTCGCGACGCCGTGCACCGTCGTCAACCCCGTTCCGGCACACGCGTGCGCAGGAGCTCTCGACGCTC